ACACACCCCACACCCCCCCCCCCCCCCCCCCCCTTTTTTTTTTTTTTTTTTTAAATTAAATAAATTTTATAAACTCATTGGTGTACCGGACTAAAAGCACTGCTACCACTTGAATAGCCCTGGTCTGAATCATTTGCATGAAATGAGACTAACCTGTATAAATAAAGGTTGAATGAAAGGGTGATATGCATTCCCTCATGGAATTTTTCAATTCTCTTTATTTTAATTAAACTCGTTATTCTAAAACCTAACTCTAAATTAAAATAGCAGAACTCTTTCTACGGGCTGATTTCAGCTGGTTAAGATATTTTCATTATTTTGCCTGAAGTTTGCAGGTAACCTTGCAGATTTAAACAGAATTTATTCCATAAATGAGTGTTATGGTTACCAACCTTACTTCATGTGTTGCCTTGCAACATGAAGGTGAATGTGCTGCCGGTGGTTTTTTGTCTCCGTGTCCTGTGATGGACAACCTGCCCAAGATGTGAGCCTCCAGTCCCTGAACAGGACAAAGCTGCTACTAAAAATTAAAAAGAATAAATACAATTTATTTTTGCACTTAAGGGACATAAAGGACTTTTCCCCTGTTTTAAATTTAAAAAGTGGGCAATGGTTGTGAGCAAATAAGAGCATCATAGTCCCAGGTGTGTAATTAAATTAGACATTTTTGCCCTGTAGAAAACTACATTTCTGTATTTGTGTCCTCTGTGTTTTTCTTTTTGTTCATATATCAACAAACAAAGTTATCATTGTTTACATCTCCTTAATACAATCTAATGACAGAAAATGACTCATCATCTTCATAAACAAAATATTTCTCTTTCTCCTGCTGCTCTGTGACATTTACAGATCATTCCAGGAGCGCTGTTGCTAAATAAGCAGATTTTTTTAACCCCCGAAAACCCAGAGAAGAATAAAATGCAATGCACAATTCTGAATATTATAATTAAAGACATAGCTAATGTTTAAGGACAAATTATAAGGACTACAATACTGTAAATTATTTATATCCTCATTTGCTTATTAAAATACAAACTTCAGGTTCATGCATTGGTACGTTTTTGTTTTTAACGTCTTGATGTTAGCACAAAAAGTTCCTATATTAGGAATAAAGTCTAATCCGAGTCGTGCAAACTATTTTTTCCACAAATATTTATAATTTTGTGCAGATATCCCTTAATGAAATATTTATATAACTGTTTTTATCTCTTTAATCTTAATTTTTATCTTTAGTCCTCATCTGCTTTATTTTACATCAAGTTGTTCACAGTCTGGTTAAGTTTAGTTGATCAGTAGTTGAACTGTTTGTGTGGATCTCATTATTCACCAATATTTTAAACATCAAGACTCTATAATCTGAGATCAGTTTCAATGAGGAAGCCATCTATTAAAACATTAATGCTTTAAGCAGTAACTGAATAATTTATCTGAATAAAACGTTGAATACTGTTTAACTTGAAACATGAACTGTTTATATCAAAGTTGTGATTCAGTAGAAAGATGCCTGTTGTTGGGTAGACTTTAAATCCAAGAAGATTTGGTAGAACTTTAGGACCACCAGGGGGACAGATGGAGGTACTGCAACTATTTCATGACTGAAAATGGACTCGAGAAGGTTTGTTGCATTTCAAGTTGGCTTTAAAATAATTTAAGTGGATTTCCTTTGGAACTGCAATA